AATTCAATTCAACTCTTTGCAACTTGAAAGACATTTTTTTTGGAAAAATATTTCAAAGATTCTTTTTTGAAGGTCTTACATCTTTCTATACATAGTCTTTATTTTGCCTTGTTTTATTGGAAATGATGCATTCAAGAGTGATTGTTTATTTATTCTTGCATATTTTCCATATGTTTTGAAATTTAATGTACATTATTTGATACAATTTATGCCTATAAATTATGTAATAATTTAATATCAATATAAATCTAAAAAATCATATTAACTCATGAAATCAGAATATCAATAATAAAATGAGTTATTTGGGTACATGTCTTTACAATAGCATATGCTTTTATTTTATTTTTTTAATGGTTTTTCCATGTGATATTTTTCATTTGTAGTACACAAAATAATTAATTGAAAAATCAATATAATTTAATGTATAAATACGAAAATTATAAAATATTTCAACATCTAGTTTGCAATTCATTATAGGTCAGTTTTAGGAGTATTATTACGTGCTTTCTTTGTTTTATTTTGTGAAAATTTCATATCAACATGTTGCATTAATTCTAAAAACATTATTTGAGTTGATGTAAGATTATAATATCACTTGATCCTGGGAATCACCACTAAGTTCAGAAATATGATTTCTTTTAGAACCTTAATACCAAAATATGTTAGAGCATATAAAATCCAAAAAATAAAAATAAAAATAAAATAGAAGCTATCTACCAAATGCATTTAAAAAAGAAAATACATGTACTAGTATTTCTTAGTTACCAAATTTTAATTGATGACTTATAATGACTTCCACATTTTGTCATGAAATGTGTTTAAAATGCTAATCAGTTGAAATAAATTCAAACATTTTAGTAACTAAAGTTATTTTCAAATTATTGTTATGTATTAGAATATGTTTTTCATTCTATAAATACATTTTTGATTTTTTGAATAAAGATGTAAATTTTGATTTGATAATATATACACACACAAATACAAACATGATTGTATATAAATAAAGCATGATTTAAAATCAAATTTATCAAACATCTTATCAAGTATTTTTTTATAAAATAGTTACATTAAAAAAAATTATCTTCAAATTAATTTGAAATCAATGCATTATTTATTATTTATTATTTTCTTTATCAATGAATGTGAAATATATATTCTTTGTATATATTATGACTATTTTTACTGAAAAGATCTGTAATTTAGATACATCCTTATATTGTCTTAAAATTTGAAGCCATTTAGTCTTTTCAAAGATACACACACACAGGCACACATAACAGATAAATTGTTATTGATTTATATCTTGTTGTTGTTGTTGTTGTTGTTGTTTGTTTGTTTGTTTGTTTTGTTTTGTTTTGTTTTTTTTTGTTTTGTTTTGTTTTGTTTTGTTTTTTGTGTAACAAAATCACAATCTATTTATGAATGATTTTATGATTTTTCATAAAAATAAAGATTTGACTTTTCATACAAAGTTTCAAAAAGAAATAATAATAATAATAATAATTTAAATTATTTTATTATCATATTGGATTCGAAATATCATCATAAATCTCTATTCATGAACTTTTAAAAGCATTTTTTTGAAGTGCAATATTCATTTAGATTCGTAGTAGAAATTCTCCTTGAAAAAGAAACAATTATGTGAATTATTTATTAACAAATTCAAGATACAATAACAACAACTTTCTTATCAAATAGACAAGTAGTGAATAGCAAACAAGATTGACAATTTACTTAAATCAGTCTTCTCAAAACAAGTTAATTATACACTACAGCTATATATATATATATATATATATATATATACAGTTTCTCAAAAATTATAATTTCTATAAAAAGGGGTATTCTCCCTCAACATTCCAAAAACCATCTCCAAATGTATCATAAAATTACAACCCTCTTTTGAACTACAACCTTTCCTCCGGAATGACAAACATAATGTAATAACTACAAAAACATTTTTCTAACACGTTTCTAAATCACCAACTTCAAAACACCACACTTACTACCTTTCAATTCAACCACGTAAACTTGTTTCAACCACCCACCCACAAAGTAAACAAACTTTGTATCATTCATTAAAGTCCATTCTCCAACGGCACTTCAAGCCATACCGACAAGCATTTACTTGGGCTCACGAGGTCAAACTTCGGCCGACAAAAGCCCCCCATCACACCGACAGCCATCGCGGTATCCCACTTAAAAAGCCTTCGAACGTGGAGAATAATCCAAAAGGCTTTTGTTTGGCGTTGCATTCCACATCCCTCGATTGATTGATTGATTGATTGTGCACTTGCAAGTTGTTGTTGTTGTTGTTGTTATTGCACAGTGTGCAGTGCTTGCTCATTAACGCAACCTGATGTTGGTTTTTCTGTTTCTGTGCACTGAGTAGATTGGTCAGTGCGTCTTTGAATTTTGTGAGTTTTGTTCAAGCTTTGTCAAATCTTAGTGAAGAGAGTTGGCTGGACTTGGTGCCAACTTTTGACACTTCTTGCTGGTTTATATATATATATATATATATATATATACATTTTGTGGGTGGTTCTTCTGAACATGTTTCTTGATATTGTGGAACTTTTGTCGTCGAAGACGATGTTGAATTTGTGTAGGCATCTTGTGGACTCGGTTTAAGCATTCTGTTCTGTTTGGAAATTGTTCCTTGTGATTTTACCAGGTTGCTTTTTGGAGCGTTTGCTGGAGATTTGTGCTGAAATTGATGCATGCACGTGGATGTGGTTGCGTCCTGGGCAGGCTCTGGATTTGGATCTTTGTTATGATCTCGCCCTGTCAATCTTCACATCAAACGGAAAAAAGAAAAGAAAAGAGAGAAGCATTTCTTGAATTCAAAGTCATTTTTATTGCTAGTTTTCCTCCCTTGCTTACGACGAACAGCTTGTTTCTAGATTCTACACTCTCGATATCCGTTTAGTGAAAAAAATCCTTTGATATCGTACCAAGAGAGTTGCTTCTGGGACCAGATTCATGTGGTTAATTTTATATGGGTACATCGCTACGAGGTGGGGATTCAAACCCTAAGAGGCCTTCCGCATTCATTGTACTTTTTCCCCGTTCATTAGTTTGAGCCATGTGTTTATGTTCAGTTGTTGTGCTTGGTCATAAATACCTCTCAAAACTCACCTTCGTCACTACTCTTTCTGCCTTTGCTGTGAATTACTACACTTTGCATCCTGTTTTCCTGCACATGAACAACAAGCTGCCTTGTTGTTTGGCTCACAGCGACACCATCGTACTCTATGCCTTTTACTTATCGTCCTATTCCAGCAAAAACTTAACAGGCATGATGATTGCTTGATTGTCTATTAATGAGCAAGGCCAGGAAAGCTCGAGAGATTAGGCTTTTGAAATGTGCAATGAATGCTGAGTTCCGTTGAGTCCATCAAAACTGTCTGCAAATGCAAGTTATTCTATTAAAAGTACCGTTGATGACGTTCTGGATAGGAACTTCCCATAGTCCTTGCTGCGTCTCGACGAAGAAACTACTCTCGCAGTGTCTGTAAAATCGCACTTCTCCCAATTCAAACGAATTGACCAGGGTTGACATAGTCAAATCCCCCCCCCTCCCCCGGGACATTCACTCCACGTTGATGTGAAACGCAAGAATGCGTCGAGGGTCGTTGGAATCCAGGATTAACGACCGTTGCTACACAAGCAAAAAACAATATCACGTTTGTGTTTCCAGCAGTAATCATGTTAACCCTACGTAAATTTCCTGTGAGGTCGAACACTCATTTCGATTTGTTTTATAAGTTCCTACTCTCGATCCCATTTTCGTGAGCTGAATTGACGAGTGCCATGTTTTTCTTGCTTTTCCTTCACACAGCTGCGAAAGCGAATTCGTTAATCTTTGGCATCGTGTGTATGTAGGTTATCAGGCATGGCTGCAGACACACTCCAATGGAAAGAAAAGCGATGCTTCAGGATTACTACAGTGAAAATCAATTCTCGTGATGCACGTTTTATCCTTAACATGCCCATGTCAAAGTTTGCAGCTCTGGTGGTTGATGACGCTACCCATCCAGGTGAACACTTGGATGCCATTGATAACCTCTCGTGTAGCAGGAATCAGTCAACGCAACAAAAGGGGAAACAAAAACAAAACAAAACAAAACAAAAAAGAAAAGAAAAGAAAAAAAACAGTAATAAAAAAAATTGCTACGACACAACCTAATCCACCGCCAGTTGGGTCTCGCAGAGATCCACTACTAATTGTCTGCGAGCACACAACACGGGAATTTCAATGTGCTTGGTCATGTGCGGAGGATAAATCGAATCCTTGCGCATTCGTTGACTCGGATCACCAAATTTGGAATCCACTCTTCAAATCTTGAAACCCTTTTTCACCCTGATGGGGCGTTTCCACCTAAGGAATCTACCAAAGGAATAATTGGAGACTGGAGCGATGGATACCGAAACAACAAAGAGACATAGAGATTACTTAAAACAATGCACGAGATCGATCTCAAGGCATGAGAGAGGAGAGCGCTAATGATTGAGCAGGGGCTCCACGCATATCTTTGTCTCAGTGGCACAAGATGGAGGCGACCATTATGCACACACATTGGGGGAGGGGGAGAAAAGATTCGGATCCAACAATCCTATAATCAACGAACTGGTGGGCGCCGAATTGATCTGTGTGCGGCAGATTCCCCAGAACCCCAAAGCCTTTCAAGGGTACATTATTGGTCCTTCGGTGGAGTGCAGTAGACAAAAAAAAAGTAATGGTTCTAATTGGTTGGGCTGTGCGGCCTCCGTGCGAGGAGGAGGGAGCAACGACGACCTGGAGCCCAGCCAGTAATGTAACGAAGGAAGGCAAAAGTAAGCAAGTAGCAAGCAAACAAGCAAGCAAGTCTAGTCGGGTGTGAGGTCGTCATCGTCGTCGACGTCGTCGTTGAAATTCGTGTGGGTGGGGATGCAAGTTTCGTCCGTCCGTCCGTCTGTCGGTGATTGGTCCTTCTTCAAAGCCCCCATCTCCACTGCTCTTCTTCTTTTTCTTCGTCGTCGTCGTCGGCTCCCAGTGTGGGTGGGTGCCTTTAGGGGTAAATTGGAGGGGAGCTGTGCCGTTCATTGTCATCTCGAAGCCAGGTCCAGAGCCTGTCACATTTCGCGCTCTTCTGTATCTGAAGCTTTTGCTCCGGCACCTGCATCTGGTTGCTGCGAGCGCTTTCGGTGCCTTGTGCTGGCCGTCCTTCGGTGGTGGAAGAGTGTAACGAGAATCTCGCCTGATTGCACCATTTCTTACTGCGGAGTCTCGCGGAGTGCGCGGAGTGCGCGGAGCTGTAGGGTTCAGTCTCCTCGAGGGTGTGAAGAGTGTCCGTCACTGGTTGGATTTCAGAGGAAATTATTAGCGATGGCGAGGTTTTGTCGTCATTTGTGACGTGGGGCAAGTGACAGTGGCATGTGTGATTGGGTTGGTGAGAGTATTCGGTGAGGGAGTTGAGAAGAGCAGAGTAAAGTTTTGGGGTTTTTTTTTTTGGTTTTTCTTGGCTGGCTGGAGAAGAGCTGTTGCTGATGGAACTGGGTGGTGTGGTTGAAGCCGTAATGTTGCTGGTTGACGGAAATTCTTGAAAGTAGAAGGTAGCTCGTACTGTTTTTGAGTCCTGGGAAGCCGAGGAAGGCAGAAGCGCTGTGAAGGTTTTGCCATGGAGGAAGCTAGGGTTTCGAAATCCCGAAGGTTTAATGTCGAGCTCTGATGCAATTGTATGATAATCAGGGGGTGAATTAATATGAAAGGGTTGAGGAAGGCAAGCCGAGTTTTGTGTGGATTACAAGTGGTGAAGCTTGCTCTAGAAGCGATTATCCTGGAGACCGCATGAGATTTTCAGTTTTCATCTAAGCAAGTTGTTTCTGGGTTCTGGGTCTTCTCGAAGGAGGAGCCTAACTCAGCGTATCAGGAATATTGAAAATTGGGGCGTAGTCAGGATGCTTGGGAGATTGCTACCATGGTCGATTGCGCTTGAGCTGTGATTGCACTCAGACCAGTATTTTAATGTCACTTGGTGAAAGTTTACTTGGGCTACCAAGCCCTCGATGGTACTTCATGATGCACACAGTTAAAATTCATGCCAAGGAACCCAAAAGTTGGGTGTAAATGGTGGTGGTCGTGGATAGGCAGCTTATCTTCCAGCCCCGGCTGTTGGGAGAATCGAACTATAGGCCCTTTGGCGCGCCCTGCAAGGTTGCGGTCTAGAACTAGTGGTGGTCGAATTAAGACACAGAAGGACTACTCTCCCTATCTCTGTCGATTTGTTTTGTTTGAATTGCGCGGGAAATTCGCTCGGCCTGCTTATTTTACTGTGCTCAAAATCTTGGAGTGCGGGCTTTGGGAGATAGCGCATTATTGATTCATCAGGACGCTTAACTCACATGGAGTTTAACTACCTTCAGGTACTACACTTTTATCATATGGCGTAGGCATTTTGTTCTTCAATGATATTATGTTTCCGCTCGTTCATGCTTCTAGAAAGGAGCAATGGGAAGGGTTCTGTTGTTCATTTATTTTTTTCGTCTTTATTATTTGAAAAAAAAAAAAAACTAGATTGAATATTGTTTTAATTGTGTTACCATTATAATTCTTACATACCGCTTAGCTGGAAGTTGAGAAAGTTTCATCATGGGTTTAGTATTTTTGATCGACATTTTGTGAGGTCTAACCTGGGAGAATGTATGCTCGGGTTACATTATTTGTGCTGTGCTAGCTCATGTATTGTCATCTGTATTCCGGTATTTGTAAATTAATTGTAGGCAAGTACTTCACGGATGTTCCTATATGTGGGGGTGTTGATCACAATAACTCAACTAGAATCGCGTTTTCAGAAGGTTAAAGTTTACTAGTTTTGTGTTACACTGGATACTTTGCTACATCCTGAATAGTCGTGGCACACTGTTGATAGTTGTGATTGTCTTTGTTCACAGAGAGTGAAGGTTTACAGACTGAATGATGAAGGTAAATGGGACGACAAGGGCACAGGTCATGTGTCCATTGAATACCTCGAGGTAAATTCTCGATCTCTGAGTTAGCTCATGTTCAATAACGAGGATGTAACTGAGCTTGGCGTCCAACACCTGACATTCCCAGAAAGTTGAATATTCATAGCCGGGCCTCTTAGTCGCCAATGATTACCCGAATTATTATTATTATTATTATTATTATTACTTGTCTCGTCTTGCTGGTTGATTCCACACATAGGAGCAGAGCAATCAAGGAAATAGAATTGACTATTTCACAATCTCAGTTAATAGTAACTTTCTATTACCGGGGTGGTCTGGGAACATGCATACTAGAATTTCATTTTCGCTATGTGTTTTCATTAATCTTTTGGTTCTTGAGCGCCGAGCTTCAGTAAGACTATTTACGTTATAGTTTGTAAAAAGTATCGTAGATTCGGACATAGGAAAAACGGAGTTATGGATGGACAAAACAAGCTGTAAGCAACACTTCGCTTATAACACCGAGTGTGCAGATAGTTTAAAAATTCGGATATACTTTAAGCTTTCCTGCACTGGTTTGTAGGTTGATCCCATCAACTGAGATCGTTGAATCGAACCCATACCCTAGTATTAGATTCTGGAGCAATGGCACGATTTTTAGCCATATGAAGGACTTTGATGAAGAAGTCGCTAAGTGACTTTTGGCACGACTTTTAGTCATATGGATTTTTAGTGGCGAAGTTTGCGGGGTGTATATTTTGATTTTATGTTAAAGTGCAGTGAACGTTAAGGGACAAGTGTGCCATGACAATAGTTTCTTGATTGGCTGCAGCGTTCTGATGCAGTGGGCTTAGTGGTTATCGATGAAGAGGACAATCAAACCCTTTTGGTCCATCGAATATCAGCCGATGACATTTACAGACGTCAAGAAGGTTAGTGAGTACTGTGAGCACGGCGTATTAGCCGATCTTTCTCCTCGTGGAGTGTTTGCCTTTAATTGTACTGTTAATTACTTCAAAAGAGATAATACATTTGAGGTCAAATATCCACCGGGGTCGGTGCAGGAGGTCTGTCTTTTTGAAATTCTCAGAAGGTTATGAAGTAAGTATCACGTTGATGGATCGAAGAAGTTGCGACGTGACTGATTGCAAAATTTACGTGTTGATTGTAATCTTATGGTTTAGAATGTACCTCTTCCCAAGTGTTGGTCAGTATTGTTGTTCCTAAGCTTGTGAACTACAGGTTGTACCTTCTTTGGCAGGTTTCACGTTATTTTCTGAGTGTAATTTAACATGAGCAGTTTGTTTCAGATACAATCATATCATGGACGGATCCAGAAGTGGCAACAGATCTAGCCCTCAGTTTCCAAGAAACTATGGGTTGTACTTTCATATGGTAAATTCATTTTACTGAAAATTCATTATTACTCCTTTATAGACGGGTCCCCCTAGGCTTTGTATGTGAAATTTGCAAGATGAAGCCTGTTTCTGTTCTCGAGGGAGCGGAGCTTGTCGATAACTACCTATTAGAGGGCAAAGTTACAGCAGTTCTGTCTTTGTAACGGCTCGCTTCATTTTTCCATCTGATATTAATAGCAGAAATTGGTTTTGGTTTTGGGAGACATTGCGTTGGATCTGCTGTAAACAAAACTGCCCTAGATGTATGTAAATGTTTGTAAACTGCCGTAGATGTGCTTCCTGCTAAAGTTCTGTTTTCAAATTATGCAGGGACCAAATATGCAGCGTGCAAAGATCGATACACTTTCCCTCAGTGGCTGGTATGGTTTGTGAATTACCGTTGCAATTTGATTTTCTGGATGCTCGAGGTAGTCATCGAGATGTGTCTGTTGTAAGGTCATCACTCATGGATTTCTTCTCAAGCTTGCCTGATGGTGCAACAGGATTGGATAGCTCTGGTCGGCCCGGTGCTGATGATATAGATCACTCTGGAACTTTTCAAGACGATGGTAAGTCTGTTCCAAGTTTTTTAGACATATAGAGATTTAATCTTATCCTTCGAGATCTCTTACAAATAATTATTAAATCACCTGTTATCTCACATTCACTGTCTAGTAGTATTCCGACAGATTGTAGAATCATGTATTTGACACAAAATCATCTGCTGCAGTGGATTGAAATTATGGATGCATGTATCGTGGCATAAAACATGATTACTTATGTAGGAAATAACATTTTGTGCAGGTGGAGGCACTGACGCATCTGAGCTCCCGTCGGTTGAACTTTCTACTCTCCCTCAGATTGCTAAGGTGTGCATTGAGTTCTTTTTAGGTGTGATAGAGTTTCTTGTACTTTGGTTTCGGTATTCAAAGGTACAGCATATTCAGTCTACTGGTTCGTTGTCTCAGTAATAACTTTTAATAGCCATAGAATGTGAGAAAAAAGTGAATCCTTTTGGGAGATATTGATAAGATTTTACAGTAAACCGAAAGCCATTTTCGTGGATGTTCAATTTTGGAGTAGTTCCCAAAACACTTGTAGCTGTAACCTCTACTTTGTCTTCTGCAGGTTGTTGGAGAAGTTTTACCTTTTGATAAAGACAGAGTGGCTTCCATGGTTGTGCATGATGTAAGTCAGTAATTTTTTACTTTGTGCTTATGTAATTTATCTGCATCAAAGCATTGAACTTTGTTATCTTGTTTCTTATTTTAACAATTAAGTTACTTACATTTGAGGCACGTTTTTCTCTCTGGAAGGAGTACTGCTAATAGAAAATATGATTAATTTACATGGGTGGATAATTCGTGTTTCAGAAAAATTACATCCGCAAGCTAGTGGAGATATTTCGTACTTGTGAAGATCTGGAGAATGTAGAAGGTCTACATTTGATGTTCAAAATTGTGAAGGGAATCAGTGAGTTGAACCATCGCTGCTCCTCAACGAGTATTTTGCTCGTGTATAACTGTGCTCAACGTGTCAATATTTTGTTTTTCTCTTTCCAATTTGACCGAGCTGCTGGAACAATTGATTTGACCGGCAGTTATGTTTAAGTTCCATGGCTTGATTCTCGTATTTTACTTCATTTTCTTTTGGTTGTTAAGTTCAAAATGATACACTTAACTAGGGGATGGTCATTTATTTCGTACTTTTTGTTTTACTTACTTTTGGTGTCATCAGTAGTGGAGTGGAAAAGTTAAATATTGGGGTATTGTAATATTTCTGTTCATACTTAAATTTATGTCTAGGCATTGAAGCTGATGTGTGTGGGGATCTGTGCCTGCAGTTTCACTCAATGATGGACATATTTTTGATATCATCTTCAGTGATGATTACATTATGGACATCGTTGGAGCCTTGGAATGTGAGCTCTTTTACTTGGATTCAAAATTCATCTTACCTGTACACCTGCTATTTTATATGCTTAAACGCACTTCATAAACTAGTGCTCGTACGTATGTGTATGAGAATATAAGTATCTACAAGTCGGTTCAAACGAATCAGTATGTACTACAGGGTCTAGAGAATGCATTGAGGAACGGTATTTGCTACAAAAGATCTATATGAGATATCTCTTGAAAGAGAATCAGATGGTATGTTAGGAATGAGTTTTGCGTATTTGGAACTCTAATGATTTTGGGTTCCACTTGTGGTCGCTTCTTGAAATCTAAGCAAATTAATGACTATAAAATGCTCATATACTCGTAATATTTTATCTATATGAGTTGCAGTGATTTGGTTCTTCATTTGTCCAAATGATAGCAACAGAATAACTGAATTTGAAGATATTTTTGATATACACTGTTATCTTGTACATTTCACCTCATGTCTTGATTGTGTTTTTGAAAATCTAATGTTTGTTCATTATCATTTTGACACCGAAGTTTGAATGTCGTTTATGCGTATAGATGATCCAGATCTGATATCACGTCAAAATCATCGGGCGTACCTTAAAGAGCAAGTCGTCTTCAAAGAGGTATGGAAATTTCAGTTTTGAGAATGATGATTAGTTGCTGACAATCTCGTATACTTGCAATTTATATAATGAGAAGTTGTTCACTTTTTTCAGTGGAAGTAAAGATATATTTTTTACGGAATGTGCCTCTCCTCTCAAACATGACATGATTGAAGATTCAGTTACTCGAGTACAATAGGTGCGGTGGCTAGAAACTCACAAAATGGAAATACTTCTTTTGTGCACACAGGCGGTTCCTATTTATGACCCAACAATATTATCAAAGATTCATCAAACTTATCGTATTGGTTATATTAAGGTTAGCCACCCACAATTCGTCTTTTGGACTAGTCTAAGTTGTTCCTTGTGGTGCCTTCGTATTGAAGATTTTGTGGTAGTTTTTGGGACAGCTGTGATAATGTTCAAGTTGGATTTTACACAGACCATTAAGTTTTTGTTTGTCTTTTCAAGTTTTATTTGCCATCAAGAATGTCTATGACGTTACAATTCAGCTCTGTGCCTGCTGTAAGGTGTGATATTTATTCTAAATTGCAGAGATGTTCCCACATCTCAGTTATACTACTCTTGATCGTTAGGCTCTGTGGACTGACTTCAGACTGATTATTTTTTTGTATCAAGACAACAATTTGAATTTAACATGGTACGTTTTATGTAAAGGATGTCATTTTACCTCGGGTGCTGGATGATCAGACGTTTGCGACGATGAATTCAATCATGCTTTTCAACAATGTATCAGTAAGTTCGTTATGATAAAGCCACGATGCTGATAAAGATTTTGGATAATTCATTGCTCAACATATTTGTTACTTTGTCGTGTCCATTTATAGAATATGAAATTCCAAGTGGTTTTGGCTAGTTACTTGCGAACAACCTTCATAATGGAATAATATCTTTTACTGCTCTTGATCATGTATCCGTTCGTTTCAGCGTTTTCTCAAGCAAGAGTGAATGCCCTGCCGACATTTGATTTTGATACTCCAGTTCTGCTGTCTTAGATTTAGGTCTTGAAGACAGAAGTTTAAAGGTTCATTAATTTCCATCCGTGGGTTTTTGCTAACATTTTGGAAGTGTTTTTGTGTATGCAGGTGGTGTCAGCTCTCCAAAGTGACTCAGCTTTTTTGTCGGGGCTTTTTTCGAGATTACGATCACCTGAAATACCAGAAAAGAGCAGACGAGATCTGGTGAGTTTTAATTTTAGCTACTGTGCCAACTGATTGCTTATGTGCTTGTTTCTGCAAGAGGGGGTTCACATGTCTTTTTTTCACTTTCTCTGTGTCTTCTCGTTCAGGTGTTTTTCGTTCAAGAGTTCTGTAACTTGAGTAAACAGCTTCAACCAGGAGTTCGTAGTCAGCTCTTCAGGTATACTGTTTAGTTAAAGATATTTTATGTAAGAGACCGTCTTCAACCAGGAGTTCATTGTTCAATGTGTTAATTCGAAATTTACTTTGATTGAGTAGTTATATGTAAACGTCGAAAACATTTGGACGAGCCTTGAAGTAACGCATAAAGGTTCTGCAAAATTCTTCTACAAATGACCTGTGTAACTGGAATTCCTGTTTGTGTGGCAGTGCGCTTGCAAAGGAGGGCTTGTTTGACATACTGAAAGACGTTCTTAAGGACGTTGAAGAAAGTGTTCGATTGAGCGGGTTTTTCTCTTAACCTTTCTGTGCTAGTGTTTAAGTGGGGTTTACGAGTCTTCTTCTGTACACATTGAGTGCATGTTCCTGATGATATGTGTCTTCAGCTTTCAAATTTCCAGCTGTTAAGCATTTCCATGATTACAAACTGCAAACTATTTTGAGCTTTTGAAAGTTGGAAGGTGACGCTGACCTTTCAATTCTCTTACTTCGTTGGCTGATGTATCTGACAGTTGCGATATACTGATCGTGATTTTAAACAATGATCCGGCACTGCTGCGCAACTTTTTAGTGCAACAAACAAATCACACCTTATTCAGTGAGCTGGTGCGTATTGCTTCGAAAACAATTCAGTGCTGGAAATCACTTTTGTACTGGAACTTTCTGGAGCCTGGAGTATCAATAGTTTTCATGCAGATAATATGTATCAATATTTTCAGCACGGGACAGTGTATAAATCTAACTGTAACAAAAGTTAAATATCAATTAATCTCACTAAGATTGAAAGCGTTGAAGGTCTACCTCTAATACAATTACCGGACCAATTATGCAAGCTTTGTTCTGAGCACTTCTTACATCTGGCATGTTAATGAATTCGTTGTTCTGACAGGTTTCGGGTATGCTGACTCCAAGTGAAGGTGGACTTCAAGCACAACTTTTGGAAATCATGCGGATGCTCTTGGACTCAGAAACTATGGACGGAGTAAGCGTTCAATAACTATTTTTGTTCCCTTCATGGTGGTCTTTTGTGTTGTTGTCCATGTATATCTTGTTGTAAGACCTCAGCCCTCTTTAATTCAACTTTTCAGGGATGTCTCGTGCTATATTTGTGTTTTCGTTAACATTTGACGTATTCAGGTCATGATGGCTGCTAGAATGTACTAATGTAGCCAGCGTATTTTGAAATATGTATCTGGTTTTTCTAAAGGTCTCAGAACATGAAATATCGTGACCTTTGTTTAATTGCAGTACTACAGCAATACAGGGTCTTAATTCAAGCATGATTGTCCAAATTGCTTTTTGGGAAGTTAAAAAGGATAGCTGTTTTCATCCATTAACTGGCTTCGTTGTTGTGAATGTGTGGGTTACAGCCGCAAGTTGAGAAAAGCCCTTTTTTGGAGGTTTTCTATGAGAAGTATATGGATCAGATGGTTGAGGTCCTTACTAGTGGCTGCCCACCTGAAGTGGGGGTTGGAGAGTCTTCTAAGGACCTTGTTAATGACACTCAGAATCAAGTCGAACGACCTGTTTCGCCTGAAATTCTTGGGAACATTTGCGATCTTCTGTGCTTCTGTGTCCAACACCATCGTTTCCGCATTAAGTAAGTGCAAGGAGTAAGGATGACCTATTTTATTCTTGTACTATTTTATGGTCAAAAAATGACTGTTCATGGTGCTGCAAAGAATGTCGACATTGACTTATATGCTCGAAGAAATGTTCGAGTGCAGGTATTACGTGATGAGGAAACATGTTGTGGAAAAAATTTTGCGGTTGACACGCAGAAAGGAGAAGTATTTAGTTGTGGCAGCAGTGCGTTTTATAAGAACGTGCATTTCTTTGAAGGTTAGCTGCTTGGAGCTACTGCTCTTTTGACTTAAACTATGATTTTTGCTTGTTATTTATCATGTCGGTATTCGGAGATGAAGAGCTGCGATACGATCTTATGTTTTGTTCACTCAAGGACGCTAGTTACTGAGTCAGCACATTTGCATCATTATCAACTCCACATTGTGGTCTTAATTGCTGTAGCAAATTGTTTTCCGAAGTAAAATTGTTACTATTAATCATTGAATGTAGGGATTTAAGTGTGCGCATTTTTGAAACCTTATCTCAATGACGTTCCTTTGTTGACAGGAAGAGTTTTACTACCGATACATTGTAAAGAACAATTGTTTTGAGCCCATCATTTCGGCTTTTGTAGCAAATGGGAACCGTTATAATCTTCTGAACTCAGCTGTTTTAGAGCTAATTGAGTGCATCCGAAAGGTTAGTTCATTACTATTTCGTACTGTTTCGTTCCTACTTTTATTATTTCTTGGTTATGATGTTGCTGGGTGTTGAATCTCAAGCAATGTGGAGGCATGTTCATTTCTCGATGTCCTAGATGTGACATGCAATCATGAGTGAAGCTTTAGACAAGTTTGATGGTTAACATCCTGGGCTAAAGGTATTAGTTGTGTTTTTATGTCTATTTTATGTGCAGGACGGCATCAAAAGTCTGATTGTACATTTGATTGAAACATACTCGTCAAAATTGGAGACCATTGACTATGTGAATACGTTTCAAGCTTTGAAGTTGAAGTACGACCAGGTGAATATGTGCTTGTATTATGTCGTGGACAATCTGGTACTTAGATGCAAATGTCTTGTGAGTATGTTTTGCATGAACTGTTTGTTAGCTACAGAGCGCAATGCGATTGAATTGATGAGTTGCATTTTATGCGGGAAGTTTTGCTTTGTTTTTAATATCGAACTTTGTTCTAGAAAGGATTTTCTTGGCAAGAGGCAAGTAACGATGTAGTGTACTCTCTTGGGAAGTTTAGTAAATGAATTTATACTCTCAAGTTAGTACTGCATAGGTTGTGTGAGTGATTTTGGATTTTCTCCTGTTAGAATACCCATCTTTTTGATAGTATTGGTATTATTTTGAGCCTTTTGGGGTCCCCATTTTGAATCACTGATTTTTGGATTTGGAGTTTTGCAGATGATGGAGTCTCCTTCTGGATTCCCAGGAGGTAATATAAGTAACAGTGGACTCCATCCTGGTTCTCGCAGCAACCTTGAAGGGGTTGGTCAAGTTTGCTTAGCTGAAAGTCGTAAACGAAAAGATGATCGTGCTTTAGATAAAGATGAGGAGGATTATTTTAACGAAGACAGGTACTTTTTAGTTTTTAACTCTGTTTAGATATGTTCAAGTCTATTTGTCATCTTTTTAATATATATATATATATATATATATAATTTTAGGGGCAACGTGGGAGCCTTGAGAACTTCTGCTTCGTTAAGCAAGGCTAATTTTGCAGTCTCAATCTACGAATTACTCAGTCCTTTCTGTTGTCATTCTGTACATAGTGATGACGAGGAGGATGCATCAACAGCTAAATCAAGGGCATCTTCAGGTCCAAAAGCAATGAATGCTGGATTACTCAACAAAAACTTTGTTCCGGGCCAAAAATCTTCCAGGTCATTAGTCTTGAGACTCTGTTAGTTTGGGTGGATTGTTCCACTTTAGTGATTATGAAATATATCCTTTTTGATACGTTTATTCATTATCTTGCAGGAGTGCTGACGTGTTCCATGTTTTCTTGTACATCACTTACACTAGGTGTAAGAATCTGAACTCGTAACCAGTTTTGAGCAATTTAAGATATCCCGTTCTATTGAAGATGTTACTTAATCGGTTTCATTACGTGTTCACAGTGATGAGGAGGATATAGCATCTGCAAGGCTGAGAGTTTCTGCAGGTCGGCAACCAACTAAGGCAGTAATATTAGTCAGCAAATATCACGTATCTTACAGGTTAGGGTTACTGCAAACGCTCATCTTTGTTCGATCCAATGTTACCGTTTAGTAGATTATTTCGTGTATCCTATTTCTTATATCTTATTGATCCGATTCATTGACCGTGTTTTATTGTGAATGCTTTTATAGTTGCCATTCTCAAGGTCGGTCATCTAGTTCTGAATTTTATTCTTAAGGGTGGGTTGTATGTTTCTCTAAATTTTTCTTCTGTTTTTTCAGGGGTAACATGTTCGGCTTAGTAGATTATGAGGATGAAGAAGATGACATGCCCATGCTTACGTCAGTCCCACTCACAGATCCTGCTTTGCCAAATTCAGAAGATACAACAGTTGCGAAACGAAAGTCACCTCCTCCAGAAGATTTGGACCAGTATGATACAGTTGTCTCAAAGAGGCAAAAACCTGAACAGGCACAGGTTGGTAAAGACGCCAATGGCCAGAACGATGTGACTTGCATTGACAACTCACATGAAATAGCACCCTCCGAACTAGGTTCTGGGGTTCAAGGGCCAGCGGAACTGATAAGGAAGTGTTCTCAAGTATCCTCTTCCCCTGGGAGTCCCGCATCACGATCTGACAATGTTAAAATTTTCCCCGTCGAAGAGCCAAGGGTTGCACAACTGTCAGGAAATGGTATTATGATAGACGAGAAGACTTCTGATGCAAACTTGCATTCAGTCGTAAAATCGAACCACGTTGGTGGTGGAGTGTCTGGGAGCAACAATGATACAAAGAAAGGTGTAAATGATTTCTGTTCGAATGGCCAAATTAAAACTCTCCCACTAAGCGCGGACTGCTCACCCTTGGTGGGAAATGATACAAAAAACACAGCGAACGGGGGGACAAACTCTGTGACTGATCAAATCAGCGAACATGAAGGTGAATTCTCGACACCTCCAGGACGTGACGAGAAGCAACGTCTTCAGAATGCTCCTGGCAGCTTAACAAGAGCGGCCGACGAGATCATTGACGACAGTCGAGTTACAACTGAAGAGATAGTCTGCAACACGACAGCAGAGAAATGTACAGGTGACGATGATATATGCAATGGGACAGCTATCGAGGGTGTAGAGGTGGTAGATCATGGGAATGGTTTCATCAAGGATACGATGGCTATGAATGTTGCCACCCAGCTGCTCAACAATGGCAGTTTAGATCATGAAAGCAAAAAAATGAGCGGCTTGGGTACCGACATTATCAGGGCAGTGACGCCGACATCTCCCGAACCTTACACAGTTCGGTAAGGTGTCCCAATTTTCCGCACCACTGGTATATAGCTTGTCTTGAGTTTTATCTCAATTGTAATTGTCCATCGTCTATTGACGATTTTTTTTACAGAATAACAATAGTAGTAATAATAAGAATAATAATACTAATTTTCTCGTCTAACAGCCTCAAACAGCACTTGCTATTCTTTGTTCTCAGATCCTTTCCAGATGCAGTAATCTCGGATTAGCATGGATCTTCATTGCATCAATCCTCACAACTCGTTCCAGTTATTCCGTGCATGGGTTATGGTTTAGTTACTCTGGTTGAACATCGTATTCAACTTTCACAAAAGCACATCTGTTGGTAAAGTTTTGCGTCAACAGTACTGAACTGTGTTCAGACTGAGAATTGATTCACTTCGCGCTGTGTTTCTCCCCTCTTGCCTCTGCTCTTTCGTTGTACCCCTCAATGCACAAGAGTTACTCCAATTGGGAGGCTGCGTCATAGAAATTGTGTTATGTAGGAGGATCCGGTTTTGGTGTATGAACAAAAAGTTGTCGATGGCGTGTGCTATACATGTTCCAAAAGTTCAACTATCTCAAACCAACGAAATCTCAAGACTTTGGAGTTAATGCAATAGAAAAACGTTGACAAAACGAAACAGCTTTACAATTTCAATATCCTTGCAAGTAAATTGCATAACACAGATGTCTAATCTGTTGTTATTTATGTAGAATATCAATTCTGTGTAGGCGTTGATACGAAAGCTACAATGGGTTTAGCGTGATGGTTGTTACTTGTGCAAGATCAGATAACCATAGTCTATCACAAGATGTTACAAACGAAGTATGTTGAGATTATTTATATCCATCGTCTTTCAATGTATTGTATGGATGTTCAAGGTAGAGTACTCGAGTTTTAGTAGCATAATACAAGTTCAAACTGAGATGAGGACTAATATGCAATTGCAGCTTTCAATTTGTCGTACCAACTCGGAATGGAATACAGTTGCCTTTCAAAGCACAAACCTTTGCACCATTTTTATCAATTCTACTATCTTATATAGGCACAAACCAACAAGTATTAGCAATCCATCTTTTTCAACAACAAAGCTATTACTCTTTGGAAGCAATAAGATCATTGTCTTCCTCAGACAGTCCAACGAGGATGAAACTTGATATTGTTTGTCGTGACACAAAGGACTGTTTGAGATTAATTTGTCACAAGATTTTTATTCTTTCCTTACTAGAAAACTACGCGATATTGTTTTGTGTCATTACAGCATCATTGTTTGGTAAGAATCTTTATCAGCAAGGTATGATTGCATGAAGAATCAATGTCTTTGAAAAATTGTTGCATCTAAATTCAAATTGTATCCACAAAATTGAAAGATGCGAAGCTATGGTGGTCAGTGCCATAAACATTGCTGAGGTAGAAGCCACCAAAGACGGCATAGTAGCATGTCACTATATTGCCAGAAACAACACACAAGCAGCACCTTGACAAGGAGAATAATATCAGAGAAAATGGTTTTTGGAGGATACCAAAACAACAAACAAAAACACCTTGCACAGAAAACTTAGATAACAGAAAATCAAGCAAAATCATGCAAGCACAAACAATGACCTCGCAACACAGCGATTTATCACCTTCAAGCAAGCATAAGAACTTGCACCTTCACTAGTGCCACATCACACCGCAAACACATCCGGTAGGGTTGACGGGGCCACTGTTATAAATATTTAGTATACTAGTATACATACCAAAAGGGTTAGCCCTTTTGTTTACGTCCTTTTGGCACACCTCTCTCGTGAAAGAAGGAATCCGTGGTAAAGCACAGATTATATACTAACAAACTTGAGTAATTCTCACACTTGACAGTAGCTCAGCTTCTTCATTCCACAGCATAGCTTTCAGATGATGACATTTTTTAGTTCCGCGTTTCTTCTGACTACCGGTGACAGGTTTGGTAAATGATTGTCCATAGACAATACGCCTTAGAATTCGTAAAGATTCTATTGCAAGTGTGGGTTGTCAAAATGAATACACTTAGTCTTTCGTGGCATGTCATCAATTGCTTACTAAGGAATAGAGTCTGTATTAAAGACGATTTAAGCCATCCTCAGATGATACCATGAATGATGAGGAACTAGCTATGAGTTCATTTCTAATTGTGAGTGTAGATACTATACCCGATCGCTCTTGGGAGCAGAGTTTGATTCGGCTCCGTGGAGGAAAATATTTCCTGAAGTAAACCCACAATTCTGGAAGCTCGCTAACACTTTTCTATCGTAGGTTTGAACTCTTTCGGGCTTTCCATTCATAACACGATCATCTATTTAAATTTGCACTCTCTAATTTATTTTTGTATTAAGGTCTTTGTTGTGTTCTCTAGTAAGTTCCGTATGTTATTCGTCCACGGTTTCCCATTAGACTTCTCAAACAGACTTTGTGTGAATATCTGGTCGAAGGTGCAGAGCTATTAATAGTTCTCAGTGCATCTGATAATTATTGTACAAGTTGTAATGGGTTTGTTCTCGTTGTTTGATGTTGAGTTCAGACTTCTTCCCGAGGTTTCTCCTGCCGGACAAGCTCGTTTACTCTGACGTGGCTCTGCATGGTTTTTAAAATCCTACCTCAGTTGAACTATCATTAACTATTAGATCAGTTCGTGCAGCACAGCGTCGAATTTTAGAAACGTTCTTCGCTGATATTGCTTTATGTTGCTTTCTATGTCGGCAAGCGAACAGGATGTTGAATTCTCTACTAGCATTTGTGTGATCTGTGCATGAATTTCAACGTAACCTTGACTTGGTAAAAGCTCTTGAGCAGGATTGTTATCAATCAGAAAGATTAAGGTCAGACTGGTCTGCTCTAGTGATTTCGTGCTAAACCAAGTGAGTCATACCTGTGAATGCTTCCTTTGAAGGCAAGATTATTGGAACCCTAGAAGCCTTACAATAGTAAACATACACAAGTCTTCTATTACACAGAACAGTTACACCCCATTTGGGGAGTCCCGACCTTGACAGAATATATTCTGTAACACCCAAAGTTAAAACAATAAGAAAAATATTTACTAATCTAATTCTAATATAGTATCAGAGTGACAATAACTAGAGTAAGTTAAAAAAATATAGACAATTAGATACAAGAGCTCACGAGAGGAAGGGTTGTGCTGAAAATGCTTTGCACAAAAACTTGGGCACTAGTAGACCCTCACTCACAAATATGGCTTCAAACAGCCTCACCACTAAGGAATGGCTGAAGTTTAATGGTTCTTGATACATGGTTTGGAGATAAAAGATACAAATGAAATTCAAATTAGAAGAAATGTGGAAGTTGATTTCTGACATAGAAAAAGAACCAACACCTACCAAAAAATCAAATGCAACAACACAATCACCACCAATAAATCAAGCTACAATCTTTACTTGAAAAAAGAAGGATCATATTACCTTTGTAGCTATCTAGGATTACATAGACAATTCCATTTTTTCACATGTAGGAGCATTCAAAATAACCAATGAAGCATGGTTGACTCTAAAGAACACATATTCCATTAGTGATATTGGCACTTAAGTATACCTATAAGAACGGTTCATATCACTAAAAATGAAAGCATGAAAATTTGTGATACAACATTTACACAATTTCAAGATCTTATTCCAATAATTTTTTTATAAGAGTCATCATTCTACTACAAATAGAAATTCTTATATTAATGAGGTCTATGCTAACATAATATGGCATAGTGATTCAAACATTGTACATAATAGGGACTAAATCACTTCAAAAGTAGATTGCATCTTCTTTTAGGAGTAGACAACCATAAAAGACTCGTCTTCAAAATCCTGAGCCTTCTTTGTATAATATAAGGGCAAGAGACAACCAAAATTACTTTTAAAGCATCTTTCAAAAGACCACAAACATTCAAAATTAAAATCTGAACCTACTATTCTATACTTTTATTGCAAAAAAAAAAAAGACATTGGAACTTAGGTGTCATAGACATACATATTTATCTTGACAATTATTTAAATAATAAGAATAGATAGAAGTAACTCAAAGTAGATAAATATGATAATATCTTGTGGAAAGCTTTTTAGAAGCTTTATAGATGTTGCTTTGTCTTTATACATGTCTATATTTGATTGGTAGGTTGAAAACTTGGCCAACAAAGAGGCCATGTGTCGACATATTGACCACTTGTAGTATAAGTTGGATATATGGTGTACACCTAGAAAACTTGCCTTGCAAATTAGACATGTGTCCTGTAAGTTAGACTCATATTAAAGATCGTATAGCAGGTTGCTACATATTTGTTAGTTAAGTAGTATATATAGAGGTAAGAGTGAGACCTTCCTCAATCTTATCAACTCCTTTTCTTGCTTTTTACACTAGTTTCAAGAGTCTTATATTTTCTAGTCTTTGACAATAGCAATTCCAGTTCTTCCTTGAATATACATTCTTTCTCCTATTTTATCACTTTCTTTTTGTCACAGATTCCATGACTTTATGCATATTCTTCCAGTTTGTGTGCTTGACAGATTGACAATAGTGTACATATAATATCAAAGCTTTATTTTTTCTTAATTAAGAGTGGATTACTCCTTTCTCTTGATAAGACATAAGCATATTAGAAGTTACAGATTACCCTCTTCTAAATTGATATTGTTTCTAGATTTTTTTTTTTTTTTTTTTTTTTTTTTTTTTTTTTTTTTTTTTTTTTTTTTTGATTCTTGAATATTGTATTTTGTGAGAATAGACACATTTTTTTTTTTTTTTTTTTTTTTTTTTTTTTTATTGTGCTAGCATGGTAGAGCTTACTGAAATGAAGAGTGTAATGATTCAAATATAAGAGCAAATAAAAGAATTAATACTTGCAATGCATCAATTCACTCTACTACCATAAGGAGCAATAAGATTATTAGGCAATGAAGATATGGAGATGATTGGAGTTGCTTCAACATCTACACCAAGCCATACTATTGCTCCTACAATAGAACATTGTTCAAGTTTCAAAGAACTAAAAATTAGATTGCTTGAGAAGTTTGATGGCACAAGATTTAAGTGTCACGGACACAAAAATACAGACTCGAGATCTAACAAGAAGTTCAAGAAGAACTGGCAAGAACTAGATTAATTAGATGAGAACAACACCAGAGAGGTGAGCTAGA